CTGCACATCAGTGACTGTAACATTCAGGGGTTCATTGGAGTTTTACAGCTGTTTACTCCTTCTTTCTCTGTATTTTGCACTTCAAAACAAGCTTGTTAAGCATACAGAAAGAAACAACACTTGACGTGAACACATCTTGATAGTGCTTTAAAATGCAAGTATGTTTTGAAGCATCTAAATCCAGTAAACCCACAGCGTTGTCTGGAGCAGTCTTTCCAAGAGATTTCTCACAGAGGCTTTAAAGGTATTAAAGGTGGAATATCTTACAATCTCAGTTCAAGAACTTAAGCCTTTAAGAAATTCTCCAGCCCCTTGACATTGTAAAGGTTAACTATAAATGTTCTTTTGTTTAGTGGCAGTATCTGAATCTGTTTTGGTCTGTGCTTCAGCATGGTCACGCTCTTGGTTCGATGCATTCTGCTGTGCCAGCAGAAATTTGCATACAATCTTAAGCAGAGGCGGTTTTCTTCTCTTGGCACTCATTAAAGATACTTTACAGAAGCACTTGCCTTTTCCCTTCACCTTTGTTTTCTCAGTTAGGAATGGAAATGAACACTGCTGGGGCTAAAATCTTTGGATTTCTGAATTACACCTTTTTCTAGTTTCCTTTCTGGCGTCTTGTATAATAAATACATGTTAAGCGTATAAATAGTTTGTTCCCCACATCAAATTAATTCTAAACATTTACTGAAGGAAATCAGAAATAGAAGGCTCTGTTTCCCCACATCTGTCAGTAGTGACTCACTGGAAAACAAGCAGAGCTGGTGATGAAAGGCCTTTTATTATTGCTTCAAAGCGGATGTATTTGATAAATATACCTTATATCAATCTGTTGTGCATTTGTGTGGAAATAGGAATGGAGTGGGGTGTCTTTAGCAGTCGTATCATCTGGTAACTGCGAATATTTGATTCACACTTCTCTACCTCTAGCAGGCCCTGTTTTAGCAGCTGTTGAAGTGAATGGTAGCCTTTGCATTGATTTTCATGACAGGACATTAACAGATTAGAAATTCCTTCTGTTCCAGGGGCAAATCCTCACTGTGTTGAAGCGTCAGCTAAAAAAGAGAAGTGAGCAAAATGTTTGTAACAATGTACTTTCAACTAAGTTTATTCTCCATGAATCAATGCAGTGATTCTTAAATTAACCCATTCTGTGCCATTTGAAAACAATTGTGTGAAATTTTGCATGAGCTTTTTTGCTACTAGGGTGGCTCCATTCTGTATTATTCACTTTGCTTATCAGACTTTCTAGTAGGGTTGGTTGTTTGTTACTAGTTACATAATGCTTGTGGTTATGTGGGTGCAGAATATAACCTTGGTGACTGGAATGTTGGCATGAGGTGTTCAACTGGTGTGATGACAGGCACTTCTCTAGGTGCCTGGATAGATTTTGACTCATAAGTATGATGATGTGTGCTGTTACTAAATCAGGAAAAGCAGGTGATGGGAGAAAGGGGAAATGATGATTAGTTTTGTGCTGGATTGTGTGACTTTACATCAACATGATGTGACATAGTAAGTGTACAGGAATATAGAGGTGGGAAGCATCTGGAACACTTCAAAGTCTGTATTCCTCTTCGGGTTTCCTCTCTGTACTCATGCTTCCTGGCCAGCTGTGTCTTGTCTTAGTGGTGTTGATTTATGACACAGCTACACTTGTCACAGCAAATTCTGTGACAGGGCTTTGTAGAGAAGCCCATTGACAGCTCCTGGGCAGACTCCTGTCCCCTGGGACTATGCTGAAGACACATTTCTACTTTGAGATGGGCGGTATCATGTCATGGCACTGTGACTGTGTGCTGGGTGACAGCACGTGTCAAATATGGCAGGTTTCAGTGGGTGGTCTGCTAAAGGTGGACTGTTTTTAACCAGAAACATAAGCCAACCCAACCAGGCAGACCATGAATGCCTGATGGGGGTATAAGAAGCAGCACTGCTCTGTCTGATCTGGGGAAGAATGTTGCTGAGCAGGTTTGCTGCCTCTGCTATGCTGTCACTTCTATTAGTGGTCCTGGTTTTTTTACCTTTCTTGCTCCTAATGGCCCAATGTTATTTAAAGCTGTATTGAAGAAATCTTTGTGTTATGACAGAGGATCTTATAGAATTACAGTCTACAGTAGAACAAAAAGAGAAGCCAGTTACACCGACAAAATTGGAATTCCACCAGTTTTGCCAGTTGCAGGACATTAGCCTGTTGTAACACAAGTGTAGGACAAACGTGTGTCTTGCTGAGGTCTAAAAGATCTCAGTCTGCATTACCAGTGTGCACATGGTAAAACTGGATGTGAATAGGTCTGGACAAAGGTAGGCTGCTACCCAACTGCCTGCTCCTCCTGTTCTTCCTGTGAAGACTTGAAAAATTAGAGAAGCCCCAGACACTGAATTTTTCACAGTTAATAACAACAACATAGCAGCCTTCCAGTATCTGAAGGGGGCCTATAGGGATGCTGGAGAGGGACTCTTCATTAGAGACTGTAGTGACAGGACAAGGGGTAACAGGTTAAAACTTAAACAGGGGAAGTTTAGGTTGGATATAAGAAGGAAATTCTTTCCTGTTAGGGTGGTAAGGCACTGCAATAGGTTGCCCAGGGAGGTTGTGAATGCTCCATCCCTGGCAGTGTTCAAGGCCAGGTTGGACGAGGCCTTGGGTGATACGATTTAGCATTAGGTGTCCCTGCCCGCGGCAGAGGGGCTGGAACTAGATGATCTTAAGGTCCTTTCCAACCCTAACGATTCTGTGATTCTATGAACAACAAAACCCCAGCCCCTCAAAGGTCTAAAAGTCAACTGTGGCAATAGATCTTTCCATCTCCAGAGTATATTTTTATGATCCTGTCTCATCCTTCCTTCTTCTGCTCCTCTGGGAGCAGCACTACAGCCCTGCTTGAAGAGTAGTAACAAGCAGAGAACTGTTTAGGAGTAGCCACAAGATGCCACAGCTTGTGGATAGTAACTCTTGAAAATACCACCATCTCCTAGTTGCTTCTCTGTTATAGTGACATGATGAATGTTGGTCTATGCGTGTGAAGTGAATAAGTGATGAATTCCTAACTGATGAGTTTCTCTTGCCATCATCACCCATTTATTTTATGATGTCTGAAAGTTTCAACTGCAAAAAAAAAACCCATAGGTTTTTGTCTTCTAGCCAAGAGCTGGAAAGCTCTCATCTGAAAACCAAAAATCTATATACTATGAGGAAATGGCCATTTTCTTATTTTCTCACTCCTACTAGGCTCATGTTAGACTTTTCCACTTCATCTGTGTTTTGCCTGGGACCGTGGTAAGATTCCTCCTCCTCCCCCTGCTTATAGGCCTGTATAAATCACTAACCTGCACCTCTCCCATTGCAAAAAGACAAAGGGGCTTTCCTCACACCCTCAGACCAGCAGTTCCTCTGCTGTAAAAAAATCCCCAGCAGAGGAAAAGCTAAACCTTCTGGTGTCAGCACCCTTCATCTGTCAAGAAAGTCAAACTCAGAAGTGGGTCTGATCAGTGTATTATTTTCTATCCGCATTCATTGACTCTTACTACATGGTTGACTTCAGGGTTGCTTTGACATCCCTGGGACTGGGACCAAAATGGAATGAATCAGAACCATTCATAATGGGCTCCTTGTCAAGCCACTTTCTGCCAAACTCAGCAGAGCCTGAGCATACCAGGGAATTGGGGCTAAATGGGAAGGAAATTGCTTAGCACAGATGTTTAATGTGTGGTTGCAAATGGCAGCCTCCTCCTTTCTGTGTAACTTGGACCATAAAAAGTATTAGGATGCACAGCATCCAAGAGCATCTCACACTTGAGTGATGCTGGGCCCAAGAAATATGGTGATGTAGCAATAGTGTAAGTTGTAATTGCTCCATTTTTGTTTGAATAAAACCTATTGATCCAGGGAAAAGCATACCCCAGACCTCAAGAGAAAAGGCAGAATTGGCTTTAAATAATTCAGAGCCTTCAACACTTTCTTTTTCTCTTTCAAGTAATGGGACCAAATTCATTTCTGATCTGCCTCCAATAACTTAAGACAATTAAGCCATCACTGTCGTATATTATTTGTCTGTTTGGCACTGTACAAGAGACCAGGAATGAACGTAGTCCATTATTTTTCTGGACATAATTTCTCTCTTTGAATTCAGGTGCCTGAAGTTCAGCGGTGGCTGCGATATTACTTACAGAATAATGTCTTGAGAATCCTGAGAAATAACCTTGTGTGTTTAGGGCTTAATTTTGAAAGACATGAACTTGCATTGAAAATTATTTTGATGGTCCCCTGACAACAAAAAAAAAAAAAAAAAAAAAAACAACCTGAAGCAATTTTTTATCAATTTAGGATTTCTTAATTATCTCCTTATTTAGCAAGCCATGCTGCAGCACATGCTGAGGTTTGTTGGTCAAAGGGAATTGCTGGCTATTTTCCCCTTCCATGAATACGGAAAATGGTTCTTGGTGTTATGAAAGGTGTCTGCATTGGATAAAAGACTTGCTGCAGATTGGAAATCTGATACAATCTAGTGCAGTCCTCTGCAGTACACTGAATGCAAGCAGGAACCTCACAGCAGACAGATTGCCCCGTGTGTCCTCTTCACAGGGGGCTGCATTTTATATATCCTCAGACAGATGCTGTTCAGTGCAGGAGCTCGAGTTTCCTCAGTTTATCAGGAAAACAAACAACATGTTTTACGGATTTATGGTGTAGTTTTTTTCCTAAGCCCAGAATGTTGATAAATGTACAAAATGACTGTCTACCAGTTTCCAGCATTAAATGTCATTCCACAGAGATCATCTCTAGCCAAAGGCCTTGGCATGCAAACAAGTTTCTCTATTACAGAGATGCTCTCTATGTGTCCATTTGAAAGTTTCTCTAGATATACAGAAAGATTTGGCAGTTCTGAGAAATTGAATAGCTCCAGATAGACTTTTCTGACAAACTCACTCAGATGCATATCCTTTTCAACATGTTTAACATACATTAACAACATTCTCCTGGGCTTTTGTTTCTACAGCCAAAACATCCCAATCCTGACTGGCGCTACTCTGCATCCCTAAGGGCAGGAATGCAAAGGTATGTATGATGTTTCCCCACATGAAAGGGAATTGTGTTTGTCCTCTGTGAAAAGGACAAAGCTGTCTGCCTCCTCTGATGCCCTAGTCTGAGGATAGCTGTGCTGAGATGGAAAGCAACCAAGTTCTGCTGTCACTTCCAGTCTCCAAATGTTACAGATTCAATCTGACTGCATCTTACATTGTTACTGTACTACTATAGATCTGTGCTTTTTTTTGTGTTTGCTTCCTGCCTTTAGATACATTGACTGTCAAGGCATATTGCTACAATATTGAATTATTTAGCTGGGATTATATACTTTTTGTTTACTTTAAAGCTCCCTGTAATCATCCATACTGATACTTTTCAACAGACTGCAGCATTGATGTATTTTCTGTCTTGTTTTTGTTACCATAGAAGTGTGCTGCTCCTCCAGTCGATTTATTAACCACATGATGCAATCAAGATGATTAATGCAGTTTAAAGTGTGTTTTGAAGATATGAGAAGGATTTTCAAAAAAGGAAAAGTGAGGCTGTGTCCAGATTTCCTTTTGTCTAACATGGACAGCTGACTTTGGGTTACTGTGTACCAAGGAACCTAAACCTCAGGGTCCAGAAGGAAAGGAAGCAAGAGCAAGCTTGATTCTGTGGCCTATTAGGCAAACTGGTTTCTTTCTTTTATGTTCCTGCTATTGTGCTGGGGTTTTTTTAATCTCTGACTACTTTATTCAAAATGAAAAAACAGTCTGGGAGCAGGATGCTGAAGCGGGAATTCAGCCTATATGAGCATCTTACCTACCAGTCCTCAGAGTCAGGCGTGCTCTTGTGTATTCCCAACCAAATCCTGTGGATTCATATTCCTTTCCATACAAAGTTCAAGATCTTGTCTGAAGTTACTCAAACAATTAATGAAAAGTCAGCACTCATTTAAAGCAATTCACTTTGGGGAGCTAATTCATGTAGGGAAGCTAATGAAGTTGTGTTCCTTACTTCTCTCCCATCAGTAGTCCTGTCTTTACCTGATCTGCACCTGTGTGACCTGCCCAGCTGATGATTTTTATAAGAAGCTGATTTGTCATAAAATTTGTAGAAATTTGGTATCCCCAGGAACCTTGACGTCTGCCGTGCTTTGTTGAAACTGCCCATTGAGTTCAACTAGGAGTGTGGAAGGGAGCGGAGATGGGCACAGTCACAGAATCCTGTTTTTCTAAGGAATTACACACAAATGTGTCTAGTTTTGTATTAAAGGCAGCAGATTTTTTTTTCTTTTCCTTCCATTTAAGGTGCTGGCTATTACCCAGATTGGTGCATTCAACACCAAGTGCTCTTGATGTGACACTGTAAAATTTGCCATGTTAGTTTCCACATTTGAGAAATTGTATTTCTCTTTCTGAATTGCTCATGAGAAGCATGCAATAACCCAGGAAGGTGGGATCTGTTAAAGTAGCATAATGCCAACAGCTCAGAAGTAACCCCACCAACACTTTATCATTTGCTTGTAATGGCAAAGAAGGTGTGTAACTACCTTTTGTTAGCGACTTCCAGTCAATGAAAGCAAAGTGTCCTGCAGGTATGTTTGTTTTTACCAACTATGCCACAATTATGTTTTAGTAAATAATCAAAGATAACTTGTGCAAGTCAAAACAGTTCTCCACGCTCCAGAAGAATTTGTTAGCATCGTGCAATACTACAAATGGCTATGACTTTTGAAGAGCAGCAAGAAAGGGAGATGTTATAAAGCCTGGGGCAGAAGGGAACTGTATAATCTAATGGTGATATGTGCTTCTTCAGTGCTGTGCATATGGAGGAGGCAGGAATCCTACGTGGTGGACCGGGAGGGCCTGATCAACAGTGGCCAACAGTGTCCAGTGCTACTACAGGTAAGGTTATGACAATTCAGAATATATGTGAGGAACTAATGTTAATCGATGCTTCCACCTTAGTTTCTCTTCTGTTTTGTGTCTCTGAGTGAAGTTCTTGTAAATTAATCTATGGAATCTAAATTAAGAGGAATAGTAAAGTATACTATTTGGTCTCAGATGAGCGCTGGAGATGGGAGTCATTGATCCCAGCTTCCACCCTGCCTTTGGAAGTTACTGGTTTGTGTAATGAAATAATGGCAGGGCTTCAGTTCTGTTGTATGTATTCAGATTAAAAATGCTTGAGTCTGGAACTGGTTTATCCTCCATTTCAAAAGAACAGTAAAACTGGGGTAGGAGCTTCTCAGTTCTCCCTTAGTTATTTTTACAAACCCAGTAAGTCTCTTTGAATGTCTCATTTTCTGTGGTGAAATCAGACCTTCTTATTTTTGTTTTTCTTTTTGCTAGCTATTTTCATTCACTAATACACTATGATGAAAACTAAACCATTATTTGGCTGTCAAAAGAGATGACTAAGCCCACATGTTAGAACATAGCTTTATTTACTCAGTCACTGATGACTTCCCATCAGTCAATAAGAATTGACAAAAGGTCTTCATTGAGTTAAGAAAATTTTCGGTGCAGGCAATACAATATTTTCACTTTTTTTTGCTGGAGCAGGAATAATATAGAGACGTCATGGAGCAGCCAGTCACTGGTGTGATCAGCAGTTCCAGTCATGTCCAGACTAAACTATCAGCTTAGTGGATGTCCTGTGTACGGTTGTGAGCCCTGTGTGACAGCTCTGTGAGCATTACGAGCCCTCCAGAAATTTAGATGAGGAGTGACACTCATATCACAGAGGCAGGTCAAAGACCAGGAAGTGGTGTCTCCAGCAGAAAAGATATGAGAGCTGCTATATTTCATCTTTCTTGATGCAAAATTTTCCCATGGTTTAAATGGGAATTTTACCTGGATAAAAGTCTGAGGAGCAACTTCAGAATTTACAGTCACCACTATAGCATACCCCGGAATTAATGGTGCTCAGCAAAATCTGCATTGGTGTTGCAGTATGGTTGTCTGCGGGAGCAAATCACTAAATTAATATAATATATAATGGGCCCCTAGGCTATAATTACCTGGGGTTTGTGTGCTCTTCCTTCTGTTGCAGGCTTTTCAGGAAGACACAGCTTGTGTTCCTTGTGAAAGGTGTGTAACTGTTGAGTTTGCATTTGAAAATGTCACCAGAAGTACACTGTAACCTTTATAAAGGGTTTCCCTCAGGCTTTCAGCTGCACTGATCATCCTTGACTGATCACTTAGTGTATTACCTTATACCAAATTCAGTATGGATGCAAATATTCACCCAGATGTTTTCTTGCTCGTAAAGCAGATTTCTAAGTGCCTGAACATAAATGCAAAGGTAGGATGGTCCTGGCTTCTGAGAAGGTCCATTGGCATTTGGGTCCCACTATCTGGACTCCTCTCTGCTATTCTTTTTGGTTTATCATTTTAGACTCACTTTAGGAACCTGAACATCTCATTGTTTAAGGAGCCTAGTAACCCTAAGCTTTTATTGCTCTTCTCCTCCAGGACCATGCAATGTGGCATGTGTGCAATGAATGCATCCCTGTCATGCACACTATGTTGGTGGCTGTGTAGCGTGGAGAAAAGTGTAAGGCATAGTGAGAGGAGAAGCTGGCAGGATGCCCTGCAGAGCTGGGCACCTGGAGAGTCCAAATGCCAAGGTTGTTTACTCTGGCCCTTGGACTGAGCATTGCAGATCACTGTTTTTCTGTGATTTTTATTTCTAGGTAATGTAGATGAACAGGTTGTAAGAAATACATACAGCAACACGAAATATTTCTGCCACATAGGAAGATGTGACTAATAAAACCTGCATTATGGAATACCCACTCTAGTTAACAGCTACCTTTAAATCCAATTTTTGTGAGTCAGGTTCCTTATAAACGAGTTTTTTTCCTGGGCAATGAAGGCTCTTTTATTTTGTCTTTGTCCATCCTCAAGGGATTTGTGACTCTGATATAACACTGATTTTTAAGTCCTTTTTTAAGAGTGTTTCAGGTAAAATACTACTCTGTGTAAACAAAAGCTACAAGTATCCCTGATCCTTAATAGCAAACAGGCAATTCATAAGGAAATCTCAAGATTAATGATTGTGTTAATTTACGTAGCTTAAGTACATTGTCATGCATCATATATAAAATCCTATCTACAGTTTCCCACACATATTTCTTTCAATGCTTCTTTCTTTTTCTGGCTTAGGTTCAAGACCTGTAGTATTTGTCATCAGGTTAACATACACAACTGATGCATTTCAGAAGAGATTCAGCTCATTATGGTCAATTGCAGTTGAGTCAACAAATGCATTTGCTCCTGACGTATCACTTGCATATGAATGGAGTAGTACACCTGGGTCCAGATCAGCTCCTAGATAAGCTATTTGTTATCTCTCTTATCATCAGCATACTGATGAGATCTCCACTTCTGATTGCTAGAAACCACTTCCAAGCCTGTTCTCTGCATGCATTCTCTGCATGCATTCTCCATGCAGTTGTTTTAGTCGATTGATTAATACCTATCAGTTTGTCACTAAACCGTTCATTTAATTTAACAATCCACAAAAACTGTGGGTAAGATGCCTCACAGAGTCAGAGAGTTAATCAATGAGAGCAATCAAAGATGATGTCATAGGAAAACTTCAAGAAGGATGAAGAAGTCAAGTGTTAAATCAGTAAATCCTTGATTCCTAGTGCATAGCTGTACTTGAACATCACATGATGATTCAGCAAATATGTATTACCTGAGCAAAACCTGGTCCTCATTTGACTAACAGCACTCCTGTTGACTTCATTGCATATTTCATCCATGAAGGGAACAGTGAGTTTTGATCTGGCATTTTTTAATTGTCTTTGGGTTTCCCAATAGTGCAAAAGTTTGGAGGTTTGTAGTCAGGATACTTCCAAGTGAGGTGGGCCAAGAAGGCTCAGACTTCCTCTGGGTAGAGGATAGCATTAGATTTAGCTCTCATTTGTCCCCCACATGCTATATGGTGAGTCCAGCAAATGTAGACAGATTTCTAGTTTCTGTTCTGTGTCCTTTGACAGTTTTGGCAATTAGATCAGACTTTCAGTGGGTGACTACTAATCTGAGTGAACTTTATTTTTTTGGGTGCCTACCTTCAAAGAAATGGAGCTTGATTTGCAGAAATGGTAGGAGCTCATAACAGAAACTAAAATTAACAGAAACTTTCCTCTAAACACACAACACTGTTGATTTCTGAATAAATCAGACCTATGCATAGTTGAGAGCTTAGAATTAGTGGGCATTAGGCAAATCTGTGTGTATTTCACTGTGCTCCTTGTTCCAATTTACAAAGCAGAACTGGTAATGCAAGTGCTTCGCAATCTAAAGATGCTTTCATAGCACATGTAAAGACTCGGGAGAATGATAAGGTTTTGTGATGAAACACAGCTGAGAGGAATTTTAAATCCTTTGTTCAGTGTAGACTTTATATGTGTGCAGTAAATAAGGCACTGGCCATATATATAGAAGGAAAAAAAATACTTTCATTCAGACAGCTCTGTAAATAAAAGAGGAAAAAAAATCTCATGGCAAAATCAGCATCTGAAATTTATAAGCCTATAGGTGAAGCCCCTGCGTGAAATACTGGCATCTCTGAAGACCACAGCAAAAAGCCCTGACTTCAGGGAAGCTAGAATTTCAGTGTCTAGGCTTACAAAATATGCACAAGGGACTGAATTAAGGTTGCATAGGCAAAGGCCATCCTAAAATATGTTGATTTTCTGCTTCTGATTTTGCAGTGCTAACATACTTCTAAGTTCATCTGTCATTTTTGTTTCCTTTCCCTGGGTAATTAGCTGGGGAAGGAGGTGGTAGTCTTGTTTTTTAAAGCACTCTTAGGAAAAAAAGCAATTATATTGTGTGAGAAATCTACTGACCTCAGCATGGGCAGATCTCCATGCTTGACATTCATGGTGCATATGTTTATCATTTGAACTAGCCAGATAAACAGCAGTAGTAATATTGGCTGCTGTTCCTTAAGGAAAATAAGCAGAAGAGACAGGTTAGCTGTGGGTTTCATAGCTACTTGAAAAGGCAGGGGAATATTGTAACCAAGAAACCCAAAGATTAACTCTAGGTCTGAAGAGGACTGTATATGCTATATGTGTGTGTGTATATATATATATGTCTTCTATATATATGTTATATATGTTTGTGTATATATAAAATCTTTATACATAGATGTAGCTCCCTGCATCCCATCACCCCAAGTCTGACTCTTTCAACTTATGTCCTCTGAAGTTTGTAGCTATCAGAGCTTTCCTCTCTTTATTCAGTTTTTCCTGCTGTTGCTTCCTCTGGCCTAGCTGTGACCTTTTTACCATGTCTTGCTAGCTAGGTATATTCCATGTCCATATGCTCTCAGACTGTCCCGGTTTTATGTGGGGAACTGCAGTTGCTCTGGAATAGATTTATATTGCTCTCAGAGGATAGTTCCTGTTACAGTCAGCTGGGATGTAGAAGAGGTCCATTAAGATGCATGGGATGTAGAATAAGTGACAAAAACTGAAAATTAAATGAGAAGCAACTATAAATATGGCAAATAAGCAAAGTTATCCAAAAAGGAAAATCAGTCTTTCCAGTAAGTTTTGTACTGCTGGTTTGGGGTAAAGTCTTGTAAAGGGAATGACTGTGGGAAAGCTGTGAAGAAAAGGGATGCTTATGTGTCTGAGCCTAGGGCCCTGGAAAGATTTGCACACCGAGACTGGGTTGTAGATTGCGATGAGGAGTGCAGAAAGCCACACTGCTGTTAGTTGTTCTTTTCATGGAATAATAATTTGATCTGTCTGTATTTTTGAGTCCATTTAACATCAGCACAGAATGAATGAATGATTATTTTTCCAGGTTGACTCTTTCACTGTTGCAACAGGCACTGTTCTTGACATTCGGCAAACATAGCAGTCCAGTAAAAGCTT